CACTCTAGTCATCCTTTGTTTTACATCTAGTATCCCCCTTGAGTGAGTATATATCATGTTTATCTTCTGAGTCTGGGTTACCTTACTCAGGATGATTTTTTCTACATCCATCCATTTGCATGCAAACCTCATGATGTCATTGTTTTTCTCTGCTGAGTAGTACCCCATTGTGTTTATGTACCACATTTTATTTATTCATTCTCAACTTGAAGGGCATCTAGGTTGTTTCCAGGTTCTGGCTATTACAAACAATGCTGCTATAAATGTAACTGAGCATGTGCCCATGTGGTATGATTGAGCATTCCTTGAGTATATGCCCAAGAATGGTATAGCTGCGTCTTGGGGGAAATTGATATCCAATTTTCTGAGAAAGCACCATATTGATTTCAAGAGTTGTTGTACAAGCTTGCATTCCCACCAACAGTGGAGGAGAGTTCCCCTTGCTCCACACCCTCTCCACCATAAGCTGTCTTCAGTGTTTTTGATCTTTGCCATTCTGACAGGTGTAAGGTGGTATCTCAGAGTCGTTTTGATTTGCATTTCCCTGATGATTAGGGATGTTGAGCACAACTCCAGGGAGGCTGCCTAGAAAACAGGACACTAAGAAAGACACAGGGAATCACCCAATGACAGAGAAATGGGAGAGATCTACATGAGCAAACTGGACATGAGGGGAGTTAATGAATGGCAAGCGTTGGGGGAAAGGGAGCTTAGGGGAGCAGGAGATCCCAGCTGGATCAAGAACAGAGAGGGAGAGCAAGGAAAGAGAGACCATTATAAATGAAGTGCCCATGGGAATAGGAAGAAGTAAAGTCCCCAGACATCCATAAAGATACCTCCACTATAGACTACAGGCAATTGTCGAGAGAAGCCCAAACTGACCTACTCTGGTGATTGGATGGCTGAACTCCCTAAATGTCATGATAGAACTCACATCCAATGACTGATGGAAGTGGATACAGAGATCCACAGCCATGCCCCAAGTGGAGCTCCATGAATCATATTGGTGAGAGAGAGAAGGGATTCTATGAGCAAGAGACATTTAGACCATGATTGGAAAAAACACAGGGACAAATAGCAAAACTAGTCAAAACACATGAACCATGAACCAATAGCTGAGGAACCCCCAGGAAACTGGACCAGACCCTCTGGGTAAGTGAGACCATTAGCTTGAACTGTTTGGGAGGACCCCAGGCAATGGGAGCAGCACCTGTCCTTTGTGCATGAGCTGGCTTTTTGAAGCCTGGGGCCTATGCTGTCACCCTTTGCTTTGCCTGGGTGAAGGGAAGAGGGTACTGGACCTGCCTTGAATGAATCTGCCAGGATGAGCTGAATCTCCAGGGGAATCCTTGCCCTTGAGGAGATGGGAATGACGGGGGATTGGGGGAAAGGGGGTGCAGAGGAGGGAGGACAGGGGAATACATGGCTGATAAGTAAAATTAAGTTAATTATAATATTAAAAAATAAAAAAATAAAGTGCTTCTCTCACTAAAGTGCTAAAAAAAATCTATTTTTGCAAGCTTTGCTGACTCTGATTCTGCACCAAGCATGTAACAGGATCCTCTTAAATTCTGACTTTTTCAATGGAAAAACTTTTACAACTGCCAAACATAGTCAGTTACAGTAGTTTATTTAAAAAAAAAATTTCCCCCATTTAAATTAATGCAGTTCACTTACATTCAAACAAACAAACCTTCAAATAAGAATAGCAACAGAGAAGAAAATATTAATAGATGGATTCAATATACACTACATGAGTTCTATCTAGTAAGTAATCCAAAATCATTTATGTACTTCTATTACAATACACCAATGGGCACAGGTGGCATTTATTTGTTGTTAGATTAGCCCCATAAGGATCATAATTCTGAGATTGGAAGAGGCAAACAACTCTATATTTAGGGTGAAACTTGTTGATTTCTACATTCCCTCTCCATCTTCTTTACTTTTAGCATCTGAAAGTGGTTAATCAATAAAGAATAGCTAGCTGGTGAGTCTTTCCAAATGGCAAAGGACAGGAGCCATGCACAATATTTGGTAAAAGTCATGAAGAGAAGTGTTAATGATTTTTTTCAACCAAGTGAAGTGATTCTCTGCTCTAAAGCATCATTTTCAGCATTTTTGGTAAGTTCAGGATCTGATTCCTCTCTTCCCAGAAAGAGATGTCCACAAGAAACAGATGTGCAGCTTATCTCATATAAATGCTAGGTCATCATCCCCACCCCCAAAAAACATGCAAACAAACAAAGTCCCACTCATGAAAGAAGTGATTTTATAAGTCATGCCTTGTGACAGCGCCCATCTCCATGGTGCATGCCAACCCATCTTTCTCTAGGTAGAATAAACTAACATGCAGATAGGCTAAACTGCCTAGACATAACCAAGAATTTCCTGGGTTTTCCTGCTGTCCTACCCTTGTTTTGTACTCTGTTCCTCATTCCAGCATTCTAAACCTGTACCTGTGGTTATTTCAGACTTCATTCTCCTTAGATAACCTTTCATGTAGCGCAAAAGTGCCACTTTCATGTTCTAGGAGGAGAAGGAAAAAAATCAACATGACTTTTCACATCTGATACGATCTATTTACTTTTGAAGGAAGAAATTTTTCAAAGATCTGTTTACAGAAGCCTTAATGAAGAGCCACAGAAGATATACAGAAACCGAGAAGTCCTCAAAGGGATGTTTGTATGTCAGCCCTTGAGTTAATCTCCTACCTAAGGTAACTAGTGGACACATTGCCAGTCATTACTTATTCCCCGGCATACCTGAAATTTAAGGTGCTACTTTGCTCTCAGCTTGAAGGAGCTTCTTCTGACTTCAAGGCAGGACATTGCATAAGATTGAAATTCATAGTCAAGGCAGTGAATTCAGATCCAATTCCCCATATCTGAAAAGTTTAATGGTCAGGAAATTCAAAGAAAAATTCATTCATTAAAGTGAAGGTTGTTGTATATAACATATTAGAAGAATTTAGCATAGCACTTGATATGGCAAAACAATATCAGGGGACATTTGTTGACAGAGTGAAGTGGTTTGTCAGTCTATGTGTATCTCTGTGTCTTTGGAAAACTGTGACAGGGAAACACAAGTTGGGTTCATGAAGAAGTAGGATCTCTTCTTCTGAGACAGATATGTTGCTGTTGAGCATTTCATGAAATGCACATCTCACTGACTTGTGAAAACCCCTCTGTCATAGAGTGCTTCCTTAACATCTTTATTACACTGAGTAACCATGTACAGCAACATAGAATGGGAGAAACTGATCATAGCCCACAATTCCAGGTACTAGTTCCATTTTTGGCAGATGAAGGTGGATCTCTGTGAGTTCAAGGCCAGCCTGGTCTCCCAAGTGAGTTCCAGGAAAGGCTCCACAGCTACACAGAGAAACCCTGTCTGAAAACTAAGAATCACACCGCCCCAGCATCACTGCCAGGCTTTGAAGAGATTTCTGCCTGCATTCAGAGCTCTGGTCCTCAACCTGTGTGGGTCACCACCCCATTGGGGTCTAATATCAGATATCCTGCATATCAAATATTTGAATTATGATTCATAACAGTGGCAAAATAAGGGCTGGAGAGATGGCTCAGGGGTTAAAAGCACTGCTTGCTCTTCCAAAGATCCTGAGTTCAATTGCCAGCCATCACATGGTGGCTCACACCAATCTGTAATGAGATCTGGATCCCTCTTCTGGCCTGAAGGGATATGTGCAGTCAGAATACTGTATACATAATAAATAAATAAATCCAAAAAAATAAACAGTAGCAAAATAAAAGTTAAGAAACAATGAAACAGCTATGTTTTGGGCTCACCACAACATGAGGAACTACTGTTCATGCTATTTAAAGATTTAAAGGGTCGGAGAATTAGGACAAAGTAAGAACCACTGATCTAGAGTATCTAGTGGAACCCAAGTAACTACATTGCTAACTATGAAGGGGCTTGCAAAGGATTTGCCAGAATATTCTTTGCTCTAAGGAAAACTCATATTCTATGTGGAAGACTCCAGCTGTATGGCCAACTTTACTACCCAGTAAGAGCAGAATACTTTGAGCTACTCATCAGAGAGTATAACACCCACTACACACATGCTGGTGAAACAGATTTTAGTCATACTGAGATCCATGTCCATATCACGCTCCTATGGGTACTTTTTCCTAGGCTGTGTCAGCTTCTTTCTCTAGCATTACTCTGCCTAGCTGTTTCCTGTAGACTCTTTACCAGGAAGTTGTTTAACAAGTGTCCTTCACAGTCAGCATTAAGTCTGTAATGTCTGGTGGCTAAGCAGATAAGGAGATGTAGGTATTTTTTTTAAATTTTACATCTTTTTTTGAATTGCTTTGTTTTCAATTTTATTTTTCATTATCAAGAAATTTTCTACTCACCCCACATACTATCCACAGACCCCTTCCTTCCTCTATCCACCCCCAGCCCTCTCTCCCAAGCCACACCACATTCCCAAATACCCCAAATTGAGGTCTCCCATGGGGGTCAGAAGAGCCCAGCACTCTGAGCCTAAGCATATACAAACCCCTCCATACTAAACCAAGGCTGTTTATGGTGTCACTCCACACGAACCAGTTTCCAGAAGCCTGCCCAAAGACCAGCAACAGATCCCGATTCTCTGCCTGGTGGCCCCCAAACACTTTGACCCAAACAAACATCTTCTGTATTCAGAGGACCTAGTCCAGTCCCATCAGGACTCCACAGACACCAGTCAACAGTTCATGGGCTTCTACTAGTGTGGCTGGTCGTCTCAGATGCAGGTACTTATGATGAACTTTAGCATATATGAATTTCTATGATATTACCTTGTGTACATAACAATTCAGGAGGAGATAAACATTCAGTTCCATAAAATGAAAGAACTAATGGATGTCCTATCAATCAGGGAGAGATCTCTGGCTTTGGATGAAGTCGGGATGCTGAAGGGCTTCCCTTGTATCCCAGCAGAGGCTCCTGCAAAGGTCAACTTGACTTCTAGTGTATGGTGAGGAAAGCACATTAGCAGGGAAGCAATGTCAGTTCCCATGACATATGCAGCTCTTCCCTGGACATTCTATTATATCCTGGGGAATCCTGGTATCTTCTGTGATGTCACTATGTTGTGGCAACACCACCTCCCCTTGGGAAGCTTATTCAATGTCTTCACCATTTACTGATGAACATGATGACATACAGAAGAGTCTAATTCAGAAAGAGATGGAGAGTGTAGAGAGACCAGAGAGTGACAGAAGAAAGCTGGCCTTCAGCCTCAATGTAAAACATCAACGAAAAAATGGTCAAGAGAATGGTGTCATGACTTCAGTGCAGGAAAAGGGAATCTTCCTGGAGGAAGTGGACTTGAGCTGAATCTTCCAGTAATGGGGCCCAGAAAGCTGGAGTCTCTGGGAACCAACAGAACTTCCTGCTTGTCATGGCTCTTGAAATTCAAGGATTCCAGGATATTAATTGTTCTGGCTCCAAAGTCAGCAACTGGTAAGGCCAATGCTTTATGCTAGGAACTCTTGGCTTTCATTCATTTTGGAGGATAGGCATTGATGAGTGAACATGAGACCAACATTTAAGTGGGAGGGATTAATGAGGTGTGCCCATTTCAAGGCAGTTCATCACTGTACTTCAACAATAGTGGCTAACTTTAGGTACTTCCCAGGTGCTCTGTGTGTCCTGAGGTGTCAGTGAGGTGACTTGTTGATTCTAGTGAACATGTTCTGCCATTATATATCTTCCCCATCAATAGTTATATGGTTAGAGTGACTTGTAAAGATATTTGGGGAACCTCTAAATGACTGGGGTGATTGTGAACTATGGCAATTTTCCCCTGACTCGTAAACCTACAGGCATATGGACTCTGCAGCCAAGTTGAATTCTGAGTCTGCAGCTGTAATGAGCCTTAAGAGGCTATCTCCTTGGTTACTTGGAGCATGTGTTATGAGGACAGAGAGAACCAGATTGTAGATGTAACCAACCGTCTTATTAAATAAGAAACACAGAACCAATGTAAAAGAAAAAGCTTAGAGGACAGACCTCAGAGCTAAAATCTCACCCTTCCTCCTGTGGTGGTCCTAGCACTCCAAAAGAGAGCTAGTTCCCGTGTGTATGTATTTTAATAGTCTTTGTGTTCTGCCTTCTCATTAGCTGTAAACCCAAACACGTGACTGCCTCATCACTGCCTGTATGTACAGCCCCCCCCCCCCCAGGTCTTAAAGGCTATGTCTCCAATGCTGGCTGTATCCCTGAAAACACAGAGATCTACCTAGCTCTTCTACCAAGTGTTCGGATTAAAGGCGTGTGCCACCACTGCCACACTCTTGCTGTGGCTCTAATAGCTCTGACCCACGGGCACCTTTATTTATTAACATACAATTAAAATCACATTTCAGTACAAATAGAATACCACCATATTTTACTTTTTCTATTTTAATAAAAAGATAAAAAGAAAAAGGTTATAACTAACAAAAGAAAAACTGTATACAAAAGTACAATAACTATATACAACACATACAAGTAATAAATACCTAAACAATGTCTAGTCCATTTGTATTTGACAAATCAGAGAAAATAATTCCATAATCTATCCTATTTTGGTAAATCCAAAATGTATCTAACACACTTTCTGTCCTAGTGAATCTTAAACTATAACTAACTAATCTTCAACCATAGCTAAATAATCTCCAACTCCCTCAGAGACCAACGAAGGAAATAATATTAGCTAACAAAAATGAAAACAGGAAGTGCATGCAAGCAACTTCCAAAAAAAATTGTGAGTTGACAGAAACAGCAAGTCACCTGAGGATTCTCCTCAGTGTTGGGGCATCATCTTCAGCCTATAGGCTTAGGGTATCTGACAGACCTATTTGTGAAGTAGGATGTACACAAGGTCAACAGTTCAACCTCACATTGGGCGAGAGCAGTTCATGTACCAGAAACACCTGAATTTCACTAGTATCATGTCACGATTCAGGATTTTAAATTCTGGAAATTGTTTATGGTTTTTGAATTCAGCTGTCCATTCTTCTTGGCTGTGTATATATGGCTTCATCTCAGCATCCCCTTTTTCTCCACATCCCTCTATTAAATGCCAGTCTACTATTGAGAGGCGTGAACTTTCAGCAGCTGTTCCACTGCACAATAGAAGCCATCGGCCCACTGCCTGTCCAGGTGAGTTTGAAAAAAAGGGCACTGTACCTTTTCTGGATTGGGAAGGCCAATTCAGGGATAGTGCCATATTGTCCTTGGCCTCAGAAGATCCTTTTGATAAAGCCATAACCACACTTGTTTTGGCAACAATCAGTAGTCATTTGTTTCGTGTCCTGTCTGTCCATTTTGTCTTGTTGATTTGAGGATACTTTGTTGTCCAGTGGTTAACTTTTGCCACAATGAAAGTTGACTCCATATGCAGTTTCTTCAATGCTCATATTTTCTCTGAAGTAGATTGATACTGCCAGGAGCCAACATGTCTCAAAAAATAAAAACTTATAAGTTATTAAAACATTTTAAATGCCATATTCTGTAGGTCTCTGAAGGGTTTGAAGATGACCTGTCTAAAATATATCTGCTCAATTTTAAAAACATATCTAATATGACTATAAGTTCTATTGTAATGTCTAACTACTAACTTTCATTCCTTTATATCCCAATAGTTGGTAATAATAACATTCAAGGATCAGAAAATTGCATTACATTGTTAAATGAATGGTATAAATACAATTAATATACATATAGCATTTTCTAACAATATCAATTTCAAATTTGTATACAGTATAAAACAGTCCAATCGAATGTAAAGAATTTAAAACTAGTAACTGTCTTTTTCTATTCTTTATTTTCTAAACAAGAACATTAAATCTTATCTCCTTTGCTTAGCCTTTTTCCTAACCCTTGACAACAACTTGTAACCAACCCCCCTAAACAATGAAAATTATCCCAGAACCAAAACCCATTAAAAAGACCAAAAGCCACCTGTCCCACATCACCTCTTTGGGAATGTGGGCGTCATTTTCTTAAAATAGTTTCCTGCTGGGTATGAGCGAAGTTATCTTTATCCTGAAAGAAAATTTTTAGGTTAATTGTCAAATTCTAGGAAAGGTAAGTATATCTTTCATTATCCAATCTGTGTATAATGCCAAAGGTCAGGGTTTATCTCAAGTCCTATTCAAGTAGCCTTTGAGACTGGATCATCTCAGCTAGTCATCTCAAAATTGCTCTGAGCACCTTGTAGTTCAAAGCTGATCTGTGGATTATGTTTGTCAGCTTAATGATATTATTATTGTCCACGTGGAATTGTTGTTGTTGTGGGGCCCCATCTTCTTTCTGGAGAGTTCATTTGATGTTAGGCCTGGCCGTGATTTCCTGCAGAAAACTGATAAGAGCTAGAACACAAAGACATATATATGCAGCTAATTGAAGCCTTTTTTTCTAGAATTAGTTAGTACTCTATATGACCATTCATATCTTAACAAAGTTTAAAATGTACATATATCTATATATGTTAATCTTGTAAATTTTGATATAAAATTCATACTTTAAGAAAAGTTTAAAGATTCAGAATAGAATCAAAGAGTTGAGATTAGTAATAGAATAGTCCCTTAATTAATTTGGCGTTTCTCCTCTCCCATAGCAGAAGATGGCTCTTTTATTCTGGCATGATACAGGGAGTTTGCATTTTCCTTTTAACAACATGCTTGATTTTAAAGAACTAGAAGCCATTCTCCAAATCCAAGTCAGCTTTAAATTTTCATTGAATTGGGACTATTAGAAGACCAATAGTGTTGAATCTTTAGAGAAAAGCAGAAACAAACATTTAGGAAGACATA